TATAACTAACGGATACAGTAACCATCTTGTTATACCAACTTCAAAATAAAGTTAGCGGAAGTAAAAAAAGATCCTATCATTACAGTTAGGTACAGTGCCATGGTTTACAGAAAAATTCAAATATCAATGCAGATTTTGATGAAGAAAGTTTTTATGCTGGTATGGAAACTGAATTATAGCATGCGAATGTTCAAGTCAGGATAATTTGAATTATAACAAATGGCAGCACGATTATGTGTCATTATTTCACAGCAAGAAGAGATCAAATACTTCATGAGTACTGTGTTGCGCTGTAGAAGTGTGTATGTGGAAGTAGAAGGAGTTGTACATTAACCAAATGGTTGGACAGAATATTAGAATTAATGCTTTTCATTTCTTGAAATTTCATTTCAAATTTAATCTTGATGGGAAAGGATTGTTCAGTTTGTAACCTGACAACTTTGCTTTAACAGTGTCTTCAGGATTTTCAGTGTTGGAGTGTACTATAGAGGGATTATGTTACCCTTTTCTCTCTATCTCTTCTGTTAATAACTGACTATTTAAACATCCCAACTCAGCCATTTTTATTAATGAAGGGAGATCACAGTTTCTGTGATCAGTTCGGGAACAGTGGCAGGAATGTGGCTCCAATTATTTTTACACTTCAACAACTGGAAAAAAATATTTTACCCAGTTGACTGCAAAGCATGAGTTACTCCATTATGTGAAATGGTTTGATGAATTCAGAATTTTAGTTAATAATGCCACTGGACAGGTGTTTTATCTGATTTTATGTGGTATTGGCAAGTCAGAATTAGTTCTCAGTTGTCTAATAAGGATATCCTAATGTAGTCTAGACGTTGTTTAATACTACCTTTCTGAGGAGGTTGCCTGCCTGAGTCCAGTTTACAACATTAATATTGGGGTTATAACCAGAAATTAGATTATTATAATGACTAACAAAGAATGAGTAACACAAGGAACTGGCAGAAGTCACTGAATTCATCTGCCAGTGAATGCCTTTTTTTCATGATGTGTGTTTAATACAACTCAAGCAGAACTAGAATTATGAATATCTCCAGAGATGCATTTACATGTGAGATAGAGCTGGAGATAGATATCTGAAATACCTGATCCTGTGTTTTGCTGCACTCCCAAGGTGTGCTTATTGCTTCTGATCTCTGGCTGATACAAAAGTATTTCCAATTGCAGACATGTTACACTGTTTTTATAGAAACTTCTCTAATTTTATCTGAAGAGGAGGCAATGGGATGGGAAATAAATTTCCTTTTGTAAACGTTCGCAGCATCAGCCAAGACAATACTGCAGTTCCATATGCTGAGTATGGAAAGAGGAACCCACAAAATGCAGTTTACATTTGGATACAGGGAGAGCAATAAATCAAAGGTATGAATAAACCAGCAGCTGATGAAAAGGACCGGTTATTTTAAGCTATTTTCTATAGATGCACCTCAGGCAGAACTTGACACCAAGACAAAATCAATGCAACTGAATCGTTTGCCAAACAAACGCTGGGCAGATCAATCAGGAATGCTTGAAAGCTAAACAATGGCCTGGTGGGAAGGAGGAATTGATTGCCTCAGCAGGCTGCTGCTTTTCTTCAGAATGGGACAAGGAGAGAATGTAGAAAAGAACTGGAGCCTTTAATACACAGACATTCCACTGCTGAACAGGGAAAGGCCTGGCAAGCCTCTGCCTGCCTGCCAGACTCAGCCTAGAAAATTAAACCCTATTTAATTTTCAGTGGCTCAGAAGGCAAAAGAATAATGTTGTATTAAAACCAAACAGGTGTAACTGGGACAGGTGTAGGTTGAAAGAGTCAGTGCTGACTGCAGGGACTTGGAAGAGTTACTGTAGCACAGCTACTCCCTGGTTTAGATCTATGTCTTTAAATTTGTATTTTAATCTGATTAAAACAATCAGCTATAGGTGAACCCTAACTCAGGCCCCCAAATTAGAGACTTTCTACTGAATGAGACAAATTAGAGGGTTTGCAGACACTGCACGTAGGTGTGGCTTATTCCTCCCTCCTAAACACAGGGTGGCCAAAATAGATTTGTCTGAATTTCATCTTTATGTGCACTTGCCACAAATACTGACAGGATCATTTTAAGGTGTTCATACCTCTGCCCAAGAGTTCATGGCCTGTCTGACCTGTCGAACTGTCATGTCATTTAGAAAGGTGTCCTTTTTAGTGCCAGAGACTTTATAGGTATCATTTGACCTCAAGGCCAAACTAAATTATTAAATCTAGTAACAGGAGACAAGAGATGGGAGATGAATCTTTTCCTTCTACTTGATTACCACGTGTTTTGGGAGTGGGTGGTCATTTTGGTAAGAAAGCTGGAGCTGAAACCAAAGTGAGATGGCTGGTTTCCTCATCAGGTTTTGGAAAAGGGCAGATGGAAAGGGACTAAAAAATATATATTCTTTTAAATTTATGACTCTTTTTTTAATACTTTAAACTTTCTTCCCCATAGAGCATCTGGTCTGTGGAAGTTGAGGAATTCAGTTTCAGCTTCAGTTTGCTTTTTCATGCTGGATGTATGAAGACCTAATTCCTCACATATACATTGCTTTCTGTAAACCTACATAACGTAATGATTTGTCTTAGAATTTGGGTTGTCGTTATAAAAATTAGCGAAGACATTTAAGACAAATTACCTCTAATTTACTTATTAGATATATCTTGTTCTGGAGTAGCATCATTTAAATTAGCAGAATTACTTGCAGTGTCTGTCCTTCGTTCCCAGACGCTGCTGTTCATGGAATTATCCTGAATGATCTGGTTACCTCAGCCATGCCTGTTGGGGCACACTGATATTAGTTCATAACTCTTCGTTTTAGAGGGATTCCTCTTGCCCCTTTTGCCCCTTTTCCTTTGGATGGCATTGCTCCCCATGGGCTGGCACTAATGTCGTTTTGAGGACATGCCAGCAGGAGGAGCTTGTGGATTAAAATGTGCTTTCAATAAAGCAATCACCAAATTATAGTAATTGCATATAACTCTGTGCTCTCTTCTGCAGTGGAAACTACCATGTACCTGTAAATTTGTCTGTCTGCTCATAAAGCTCATTAACCTATTTTAGACTAAGCAAAGCTCAATAGGTGAAAATTTAATTTTATTTGATTTTATTCCATTGTATATTTGATATTTAGGTTATTTTATGTTTACGTGTTCTGAAAAATACATATCTTAACACAAAAGCACAACTCTCTGAAGCCAATATCCCATGCTCTGTTTTACAAGCATTAAGAGTATCAACACTGCATTGCTCAATTTTATAAATAGTATAAAAATTATGAGTAATAATATTCATGTTACTAAAAGAAATCCATGCTAATGAGCACAGCTGAAATTGGATTCACATGATCAGAATTCTCTACAGCAACTTAGATAACATTGCTGAGTTTCAAAATAAGAAATCATGGGGCCACAGTTATAAGTCCAATTATCCTTGGGTACCAAGAATTAATAACGTGTGCTAAATTAATTTGTAGGCTTTTTATTTTAGTGACAAGAAAAATAAGGACTTAAAGATATAACTTGTTCATTTTCTTACTGAAAATAAGAGATGGACGTGTACCACAGGTGTTTTATGCATTTTTTTGCATAAAGGTTCTTAGTTACCTTGAAAGACTAAATACTATAATAGGAATGTGATGAATCTTGAGGTAGGAAAATCATTTATTGTTTTAGCTAAGACCCTATTAGAGTTTTCTGCTTAGAAATTTAGACAAGTTAAATAATGCACTTCTATTAAAAAGACTTCACACTTTTTTTCTGTTAACGTTTAGCATCTGAATTGAACATAATTTTTCCACAGTGTTTTTTCCCTCTTATTTCTGTGAGAACAGCCGGTGTGTGTGTGCACTGTGGTTACAAAGGTGATGGCTACCAGTGAGACAACTGCCCTTTCCTGCAGAAGTGCTCTGCTACCTGCAAGTGAATTTTCCACTCGGTCTTAGGACTTGTGAAAGGCTTTTCCTTTGGTACCATCTCTCCCACGTGGGTGCTCAGAACGCCTCAGCAGAGCCTGAGTGTGCCTGTGGCTTTGGCAGGGCTGTCTGACCTGTGTGTCAGGAAGGTCACTGCAGGCAAAAGGGAACTGCACAGAGAAATTCAGGGATTGTTTTAAAATATATCTCTATTTGTTTAAGATGGCCAGAACTGCAGATGAGCAATTCCTCCCCTATGGACTTTTTACCATGTTTTGAGGATAGGTATTATAAGGTTGGGGTTTTTAACTTGTAAAAGTAATCTTGGCTTTGTGTGCTGTGTGACTCAGCCTAGCTGAGTTGCTAAATGCAAACCAGTTTTATTTATTAAGTTGTATGTAAGCAGTTTAATTAAAAACCATGTGGAGACCTCTAAAAGAATGGCAAAAGTACAATGCTATCCCTTTATACTGTAGTTTTCCGAGGAGTCTATAGCCTGAATGTCACCTAGGTAAGCTGGAATTTTCTGTTACTGCTTGTTTTTGAAGTTGATGTTCTTCTCTGAGTCTTTTCCAAAAGGCTCATTCATGTAAGACTGTAGTCTGTTGTGGGTCAGAAGAGACTGAAGAATTCCCAACAGGGATGTATTACTAATGTACTTCATCATGTAATGATACATCCATCCATAATTAGAGGATTGGTAATTGAGCATCATCCAAGCTCTTGTCTATTTTGCTTGTACTTTTATCACTTCAAAATGCTTTTCCCGCCATTTCTGAACTGCAGCTCATGGAGATACGCTTTTATCCTGTAATTTGCAATCTTCCATAAAGTATTGGAAGTTCTACTAGTTCTCATTTCTGAAAGAGCCCATTTTGTAATTCACACTTGAGATACCAGTAGAAAGAACGCAATTCCGTGGTGTTGGAGATGTGTGCTGTACTTTGCAGTCATGTGCCAGGCTCTCATAACATCTGCTTTTTTCATGTTGGAAATAACCGCAGAATAATTGACATGTAACATAAATTAGCTACTTCTGTCTTTATGTTTTGTCTCCCTAGTGATATTCCACCTTCTGGAGAGCCAGTGAGCAAAGGCAGTCGCTCGAGGGTGACCACGCGCTTCCCCAAACTGTCCCGCAGCCACCAAAGGGAGCCCCGGAGCCTGGAACCCCAGAGTGGGGATCTCTGACCCTTTTTCCTAGTTGTGAACACGGACACCACGTACTTTAAGTTGTTCTGTGATTCCTTCCTAGCCTGTATTTATAATTTAAGCTCCTGAAGAGACTACAGCTGCATCAACTTAAATCCTGAAAAGAGACATTCATTGCCAGGGGTCATATCCTGATTAACTACTTTGGAAGGCAGTAATCACTTTCTCAAAAGAATACGAGGGCTCTTCACCAGAGCTCAGCAAACTGATGGCATTTTCTTTATTTTGTAAAGCTGCACTGCACATATTCTCCTTTGTTCCCCTGAAGTCCTTCTTTTACAATGAATTCCTTGTTTGTATTATGTTGTCTCCCTTTTAACATGTACATTTTTCTGTTCCAGAGAGACATGGGTATCATGTCCAGACAATTTTTTTTTCCCTTAGAAGAACAGTTATGATTATCACTACTTAATAGGTCAGAAGGATGTGCTTAAAAGAACCTCACTAATTTATTACCTTTTGTAAATAGAAGGCCTGGGTTGTTTTGGGTTTTTTTTATTGTAAACCTCTGACACACAAAGGTTTTTAAAAAAACTTGACAATGTAGATGATGAGAAAAACGTTACAGGTGGAAAAATAGCTTTTGTACATTTCTAGTTAGATATTCTCAATAGCTTTCATTTGTGGGAAGTATTCTTTAAAATCAGAGAATGTAATAATTTTTTAGTAAAATTTCAGTCCTGCTGGAAGGCAGGTGCAATATTATTAATTTTTACAAACCACTGCAAGGATACACAAATTAGCATGGTGCGAAATAGTGCTTTCAAGTCTTGGGTTATATTTTGTTATCAATTTGTTGCTGATGTTACAGAATAGTCCATCATTAATCTGATTTTATAAAATCCTTCACATAGTGATACTTAAAAATTGCCTGTAATGAAAGTGCCTGTTACCCATCACCTCTTATTGAAAAGTAATTTGTAATGCTACTACTGTAAGAGTGACTAAAGTATTGACAAGAATTATTACAAGTGATGGAAGTCCTGACATGGATTAACTGGAATCCAGTTCAGTATCCATTAGTTGCACTGCCGTAGGCAGTTAATTATGTTTTAGCTATCTTCTTCTCTTCATTAAGTTTAAGCAGTATAGGTTCAAGTTTTCCATTAATTGTATTCTGGTTTTCCTTTGTGTTAGAACATCTTTCTTCTCAGAAGTTTTTTTGGATAATGTTACTTAAATTGATGTATCTTGTCATTGTATTATCCATTCATTATGTTAAATTCTCACGTCAGTAGATACTAAAACCTTATATCATTCTCCAGAAAAAAACCAAGCTGATGATTAATAACAGGGGTTTTTACCTCACTGGTTTACTAAAGTTCTAGCAAACTGGAACTTGTGTTCTGCAAACCTGTGACCACTGTGTGTTGTTCAGGCAGGTGAGTGGTCCAGTCATTTTTGGTGGCACTCCCTGAGTGAGTGGGGGTTTGTTACACACAGTGAGGAGCATCAGTGCCTGAGTATGACCCCAAGTGCTGGATTCCTACCACTGAAATATGTAGCTCTCAGATTGCACTGAATAGCAAAACGTGACAGAGAGGAGTGGAATTCACTCCTCAGGTCAGAAATTCCCGTAGGTGAAACACCACAAAGTAAAATCATGTCACAGAAATGAAACAAGATTTTTCAGTCAGTGAGAGTCCCAAAATAGATCAATAACAAAGCCCAAAGGGCAGCCTGAGAACAAGTGGGTTTGTTTTCATTAACAGATGAATTACTGTTGGTGTTTTGTGTAAGTTACAGTGGGACACTTATTTGAGAAGAAGGCAAAGTGAGTAGTTTGTCAGTTAAGTAGCTTCTCCAAACTCTAATCTGATGCACTACTGCTGGTTTAGTTTGTTGGAAAGAGAAGTAGCTATAATGATGGTCCACTTTGAAACAATTCTATTTTTCAGAAAGTGTAGACTTGATTAATAGAAACATGGCACACATCTATTAACACTGAATTGCAAGTAAATCTGAAAGAAAACAGTGTGTGGTAACCTTTGTGATGCATCTGTCACATGGAGATATATTCATTTTCAGGAAGTAATTCACAGATTCAAAGACTTCTTATTCAGAAAGTTGAAAATTATAAGAAATCTCATTTAGCGCAGACTGAATTTTTTTTTAGTTGTTTAAAAGGAATTGTTTGTATCTGCATTTGGGTCTTAAAATTATTTCACCCCTGATTGTCTTGCTTCTTGTAATTTTTAATGTATGTATGCAGATCACATAAAATACTGAACTTGTTTACCATGTACAAATTGCTCTTTGTTAACTGTGGCTGAACTGTGTAGCAGCTCCCAAGATTACAGCCTGCAAACAATGTTCACTTGATGATACAAGATACCATAATGGGGGCATTACTAATCCATTTAAAAGCTCAGCTGTGGTTTCTCTAAAATCCCAGAAAATAATCAAATGAAAGCCTTTCTTCACAAGGTAGCTTTCCTGCTTCATAGCCCTGGTTATTTTGAAGATCAGTGAGGTACCTGTATGACTGCAAGTAGGTGCCTAGTGACAGGAATGCCCAAATTTTTAGCACCTCAAGACATTCTGACATGCTGTTAGAGAGAATCTGTTGCAAATCCCACTTCTGGTAATTCACCAGAATCAGCAAAGTCTGTTAAGAAGATTGACCAGCTGGGGTTGAGAATGCCAAGGAGTTCTGTTATTCTAATAAAATACCTGCAAGTGTAACAATTATTCCATCACTTGAATGATTTGATCAGTTTATCCTGTGTCACCTAATTTCATGCTCATGGTTACAATTTTTGTCCAGCTCCAACTTCCTTTGGCACTGGCTCAAAGCTCTGAATCCCCTGTATGTGCTCAGTGAGCTGTTGAGTTCGACCATTCCTGTTGGTGCTGTAATCCCAGGACAGAGTCCAGGCCCTGGAGCTGTTCCTGCAGGCCCTGGGCTGTGGCCTGGCACGAGGCAGTGGAGAGGAATTTGTGGAATCATTTGCATTTCATTCCTGCTTCATCTTTAGATGTATTGGGTCTCCAGGGCTTCTCATCACTGACTGTTGAAAATAAACTGTAAAAAAGTGGCACAACTTTTACTGTAATGCTGTTGTCCAGTCATATGGAAAATGAACATTTTCCTGAGAAACAGAAAGCTCTTCCAGCTTTTGCAGATGTGTCTATCAGTATTCATCAAAGACTGAGTGTGGTTTTTCAGAATCTCATTTATTTAGAGATTCTGTCATTCATTATAGCATTGTGTCGACTTGGCTTTTGCAAATTAAATCAAAGTTCTCAATTATAATAATAATAATAATAAATTTCCAAGGTTTATATGAGGCAGGATATTGGCATAGTTATAAAGGCTTAAATTGATATGTCCATTAAGTCATATATTCTTAGGAAGATAATAATTTCAAAGCCAGTCTTTTTTACGGAATATATTGTTGATGTGATAGTTGTAATCAAATTATAATACCTTGCAGACTTTACTGCAAGTCATAAACCATTGAGGTTGGATTAATACAAGTATTTAGAGAAAGAACATAATGGTAATAAAGATTACTGGCTCAAAATTGTGACCTAATGCTAAGGTGCTTTTTATTTTTTTTTGTTACAAAGTCATGTTTTATTGTATAGAACAATATCTGCATGGTAGCTGTCAAATTAATTAATAAGAACCTACTAACAAATGGGGTTGACTGACTCAGAGCAGCCAGCTAATAATAAATGAGACTTGGTGAACCCCCAGTGAACTAATGATGCTTCTGTCAGGATGTATTAATGGGTTAAGAATATGATCTTTTGTTACCAGAATCAGTTATTGGTGCTTTCACATATGGATGTCATTCTTTTTCCTCCAGAGAAAGCAGGGATCTCAGTGCTGCTCTGAGTTCCATGCTGTTTCCAAGGTTCCACCCCCCCACTCCAAAACATTTTTCATCTAATGCTTTGGAATTCTGAGCACAGATAATATATACCTGTGGATAGAAATACAGTTACTTGCTTGAAATTACAGTGAGAAACCTGTGGAACAGCTGTTTAAAAGAAAGAAAAAAAATACTTCTTGCCCAAATTGTGCTGCTCTACGCCCTTGCAAATCTTGGGAACAGCACTGGGCTCTTCCAGCTGGAACTCTAGGACATATGGAAAGAAACCTATTTAACATGAGAATACAAGTTGCTCCTTGGAAACAATAATAATACTTCTGTATTGGATCTTGAGTCACTTCTAGAAAAGTGATTTAACAGCTCAAGAAAGTAAAGAATTTCTCTCCTTCACTTTCTATAGGTGAGGGTGTTTGAGTCAGCACCCTGCTCCACATGGAATATTCACTTGATGATGATTTTGTCATTTCAGTAGTTTCTTAGCATTTTGTGTGCAAAGAAACACTTCACTGTATGAAATTATCTATATGAAATATAGAATATGTTTAAAAATACCAGTTAACCTGCTTCATGTTTCACATATTGAATGGAAGATAAAACACTTGTTCTACACAGTGGTCTGACACTGTACATTGAATTTATTTCTTATTCTGCACTAACTGTGCTTTTATGGTCCAGTTATAGAGAACTTAGATTATTTATAAAATTTCTTAAACAAAAATAATCAGAGCATACTTCTAAACAATAATAATGGCTTAGTTTTTGGTTCATAATGGCATGAATTTATACTAGACAACAGCACTGAAATGTTTAGAGAGGAATGAATTTACAAATTTCTGCAAATATCTGGACTTAAAAAACCCCAGCATTGTTTTATATTGCATCAAACCAAGTTTATTGCACTTCCACGTAGGGGAATCAGTTCCTTTAACAAGATTTCAGAAATTATCTCCATGCCATGGCAGTAGTTAAACTGTGATAAGTGGTTTTCTTATTAATCATTTAAGACACTAAAAATTATCAAACTGTAAGTGTGGTTGAAAATACAGTTCTGAAAGGCTGCGTTTTCTCACTTAACACTGAGATAAATAAGTGTCTTATGTATGGGACAAAACCTGTTGGCAACTGAAGAAGCTGGATTTCCCTTTTCACTTGGGGAGGGGAGGGAATTTTTTTTGTTTTTCCTGTTAAACTGTAGAAAATATAGTATTAATTCTTAAGCGTATATATGTACAGTATTCACATAAGTGTTAATAAACTGTAATATTATTTTAACTCGTTATGCTAATGTTTACATTATAGAATTTTTAAGCAAATGTGTATATATAAAATTTTCTAAATACTTTCTTGTTTGTTTTTTTTTATTATTAAATATCCTGTGGTAATTTTATTGTAATCTGGTTAAAATATGCTACTTTACCAAGAAGAAAATAAAAAATAACATCATTTTTTGTTTGAAGTGGAGTTTGTTTACACCTTATTTGTTCTATTCAGCTGTTTTGTATTTGCTTCTTTGATTTATGTTCATTTTTTTCAATGTGTTTCTATACCACAAATAGTGGGGGAGTTGTAACAGCTTGACATTTCTACATGGGTTTAAAGGTCTTCTTTTCAGAAAAGACCTGTGCAGGATTTACTGCTTTTTTCCCCTACCCCCCAGAAATTTTAAGGAAATAAGGAAAAATCTTTGTACAACGATCTGCCAGAAGAAAGAGCAGAATTATTTTTAAGATAGTGTTTAAAGTAAGATTTTTGCTACTGCACTCCAGTCTTTCTGAATGACCTTTTAAGTATTGTGAGTGAACTTATTGTATTCCCCAAATTAAAATACATACCTGACATTTTGATATATTGCAAGTCATGCTTGATTTTGTTCTAGAAAACAGTGTGTGGCATGTGTGTGTTTGTCATGCTTATTTTCTGAATTTTTCCTGCTGTTTTTCACCCAGCATTGTAACAGCAGGCTTTTATTATGTGAGGTTTCTAAGTACCATGTTGATAACTTTCTCTTTATTTCCAATTCAACAGTATCCATGCCATTTTCAACATTTCTTGATTCCCTAATATTTTAAAGTTGCTCAGCAAGTGCGTGCACCTCATCCAGTACACTGCATTTGTCTGCTGAATAATATGTTTTTATTTGAAAAGTGATCTTACATCCCTACTCATCTGCAGCTTGTAATTGTTTCATTCGTATAGGCCCCTCATTAATTGCACCTCTAGATCTTGCTGCTGAGCAAACTGTTGTGCTCTGGGTGAGCCTCTGCCCTTCTTGCTGTTTGTTCCAAATGCCAGGCCTGCAGTGCCCTGTGCTTGCCCATTCTGTGCCTGTGCAGCATCGGAGACTCTTTGTGCTCTTGGACGTTTGCTCTTTACACCTTCTTGGTTGGAGCTTGTGGTATTTTTGGAGTCTCTGTTGGATCCCTAAGACCTGCCC